GGGGGGAGGAGGGAGGGGGGAAGAGGGAAGGGAGGAAGGGAAGAAGGTAGAGAGAGGGAAAGAGAGAAAGAGAGAAAAAGAAAAAAAGAAGAAAGAGAGAAAGAAAGAAAATACACTTGTTGCATAAATGAGGTATATTTGTGCTTATATGGCTGCAATGGGACTACTCATCTCCAATCCATCTATTATCATTCTAGGTTCCTGGTTTTCAGTAAACCTATCCTGGACTTATTAAAGACAAGGTCCCAGATTAGTATCTTCTTTCTGATAAAAAACACACACAAAGGCAAAGAGAACAGTTTATCCAACCCCAAAGCATTTCCACCAATATTCTTCAGACGTCCTCAAGTTTGCCCTGGGTATCCGACCTCAGGTGGCCCCTCAAATCCTTGTAATGCTACACTAGTTTATTAGGAATACAGAATTTCAGTAGATGCACAGATTGAGACTTGCTAAGGAGAGAGGACATCAGTCTGGCCCTTACCTTTCCTGCCAGGAACCATCTAGTGGTCCAAGATGGCTTGATTTCTTCAGACTTTTTTGTCCTTTCCGATACTTCGTGGCTATCACATGGGTAAAATCTCCCTTACATACTGTGCCCAGAAACAGCTTTGACCATCCTGGTGGATTTCTGGCATACCAGGGAAGCAGTCCTGGTTTGGAGAAGAGACCCACCATGGAGAGGAAGTATCTGAGGCTGTGCATTGGGACTCTTCTTTTAAGGACTGCCATTCAAAGAACACACTGAAATCCACCTGCATGAAAGGTACACATACAGAGGTTGGGAAATAGAGGTACAAATCCCAAGCCCATTCATCCATCTATAAACCCTTATGGAACTGAAGCACCTAGCAGAATGCTGGCCCACAGCAGACAGTAAAAGCAGGCCTGTTGAGCAGAACTGAATTACTGCACGCAAGGTATGTCTTAGGCTTCCAAAATAAAGAGATGAGGAAAATATAGTCTCCATCCTCCAGGAAAGAGTTCAACTCTCTGGATTTTTTTTTTTTTT